AGGAAGCATCAGGGGGCAACAAGGGAAAACCCAATATTTCATCTTGATCAACCAATAGGGGGCGGGGGGCGAGGGAGATGACGCCAGGGAGGTACCAAGCTCCAACGACCGAAAACCGTCAACCATAGGCTAATGGGATGGAAATTATGTTGAGGAAACATATCTATTCGTAAGTCATGATTCGGAACTTATAAACTGTGTGTATTAAACTTCATCCTACTAGGGTGAGCGGATAAGCTATCTTCTTAATCATGACGTTGCTTTCAAACATATATATTATGGCTTATTGAATAAGCCATAAGCTCCGTAACAACCCGTTACTAAGTATCAAGTACCGTTTATTAATATTAATATCTTGAATTTCAGTGTTACAACTTGCCACTTATTAAGAAAGTACGAATTCGTAAAATATCCTGGAACTAACTGATAAACTTTATAAATTTATCTCGTTTTTTAATTTAAATTATTTTAAATGTAATTATTTTTTAATTAAATAAATTATATGAGAAAACGAGTATTTTATTATCTTAAATTATATACTCATAAGTTATATCTGTAATTTTTTATTTTATTCTTTTAACATGGCTTCAAGGTTTGGCCAAGTTTTATGGGTTTTTTGGCAGTTGTTGAATGGTTTTGTGCAGAATGATTAAGTTATCAAACTGATTAAGAGGCTCTTGTAATAAGTTGCACTGAGCGAGTATCATTCTAGTATGTATGTATGTATATATATATATATATATATATATGGTTTTATTTACAAATCATATAAATTAATTAATTGATATATTTATTAAAAAAATATTTATTATAATTTAAATACTTATAAAATATTATCAAGATTTATTATTGATGGATATTTTATATCATAAAACAATGGAAATATTCATTAAATCAAATTAAACAATTAAAATTGGTGTACAGTGGGAAGTAGCGACGTCGTCGTATGGCATCATGAAACAAAACGACAACGTATAACCATGACAATGGTCAACACTTCACCTCCTGACCAGGCCTTCGCCGTTTCGCGTAGCATCACC